TTCTATTGACAAAGATAGATTACAGTTAGTCAGGTCCATAAATATTGGGACATCGACACAATTCTAACATTTTTGTCTCTATACACCACCACAATGGATTTGAAATGAAACAAACAAGATGTGCTTTAAATGCAGACTGTCAGCTTTAATTTGAGGGTATTTACATCCAAATCAGGTGAACGGTGTAGGAATTACAACAGTTTGCATATGTGCCTCCCACTTGTTAAGGGACCAAAAGTAATGGGACAGAATAATAATCATAAATCAAACTTTCACTTTTTAATACTTGGTTGCAAATCCTTTGCAGTCAATTACAGCCTGAAATCTGAAACGCATAGACCTCACCAGACGCTGGGTTTCATCCCTGGGATGCTCTGCCAGGCCTCTACTGCAACTGTCTTCAGCTACTGCTTGTTCTTGGGGCATTTTCCCTTCAGTTTTGTCTTCAGCAAGTGAAATGCATGCTCAGTCGGATTCAGGTCAGGTGATTAACTTGGCCATTGCATAACATTTCACTTCTTTCCCTTAAACTCCTTGGTTGCTTTTGCAGTATGCTTTGGGTCATTGTCCATCTGCACTGCACTGCGTCCAATGAGTTCAGAAGCATTTGGCTGAATATGAGCAGATAATATTGCCCGAAACACTTCAGAATTCATCCTGCTGCTTTTGTCAGCAGTCACATCATCAATAAATACAAGAGAACCAGTTCCATTGGCAGCCATACATGCCCACGCCATGACACTACCACCACCATGCTTCACTGATGAGGTGGTATGCTTAGGATCATGAGCAGTTCCTTTCCTTCTCCATACTCTTCTCTTCCCATCACTCTGGTACAAGTTGATCTTGGTCTCATCTGTCCATAGGATGTTGTTCCAGAACTGTGAAGGCTTTTTTAGATGTTGTTTGGCAAACTCTAATCTGGCCTTCCTGTTTTTGAGGCTCACCAATGGTTTACATCTTGTGGTGAACCCTCTGTATTCACTCTGGTGAAGTCTTCTCTTGATTGTTGACTTTGACACACATACACCTACGTCCTGGAGAGTGTTCTTGATCTGGCCAACTGTTGTGAAGGGTGTTTTCTTCACCAGGGAAAGAATTCTTCGGTCATCCACCACAGTTGTTTTCCATGGTCTCCTGGGTCTTTTGGTGTTGCTGAGCTCACCGATGCGTTCCTTCTTTTTAAGTATGTTCCAAACAGTTGTTTTGGCCATGCCTAATGTTTTTGCTATCTCTCTGATGGGTTTGTTTTGTTTTTTCAGCCTAATGATGGCTTGCTTCACTGATAGTGATAGCTCTTTTGATCTCATCTTGAGAGTTGACAGCAACAGATTCCAAATGCAAAAAGCACACTTGAAATGAACTCTGGACCTTTTATCTGCTCATTGTAATTGGGATAATGAGGGAATAACACACACCTGACCATGGAACAGCTGAGAAGCCAATTGTCCCATTACTTTTGGTCCCTTAACAAGTGTGAGGCACATATGCAAACTGTTGTAATTCCTACACCGTTCACCTGATTTGGATGTAAATACCCTCAAATTAAAGCTGACAGTCTGCATTTAAAGCACATCTTGTTTGTTTCATTTCAAATCCATTGTGGTGGTGTATAGAGCCAAAAATGTTAGAATTGTGTTGATGTACCAATATTTATGGACCTGACTGTATATTAGGTATTAGGCTTTGGATTTTAATTTTATAGGGCTGTCTATTTTCTACACCTCTTACATCACCTGTAGCCTGATTAGTATTTGAAGCTGTCTGTTGCGGTTTCTCGCTTTGTGCATTCACTGCAGTGCAGAGCCTGAAGTGTAATACTTAATCCACGATCAATACTTTATCCAAAGATGATAGTTGCCAATGCTACCCCTGGCTGTGCTGCCTTTTAAGGAAGGCTTAAATTTATACTGAGTTGGGTGGGGGAATTGCTAACTAATCAATTAGGATTGTTTAGCAGACACACATGGCTAGCAGGGCAATCTTCTCACACCAAAGGAGGACTACAAGAGACAACGAGAGCTGGAGGGCAGAGTTGTAAAGATTAGGATCAGCTCAAAAATTTGGGTTAGACATTTAAAAGCAAAATAAAAACCACAGTAATATGGACCAGAGTTAAAGATATTTGAAGCAGTAAGAATGACCAATATGAACATTGATAGTTATGAATCCGCTTCAGTTAGAGGTGGATTTTAAAAGCAGTATAAATTACCATATAGCAATGCAGGGTGAATTAGCATTCATACATGGCATGGGTGATATTACAGATTGATATTTGCTTGCAGGCATTTACCATATAGCAGTTTCCACTGCACAGAGTTGCAACTCTTTATGGATGCTATATGCAGATCCTGACAACAGATGACAGGCTGGGGAGATGTTCAGGAGAAGCAGTTGGTTCAGGGAACATGGTCAATGGAGGAGCAAACCTTGGTGATCAACCTTTTTTGAGCTTTATGTTCATTTGGCTCTCCAATATTGGTCTATTTGTGCCTTCAGGGTCTCCTAATTTGATTTAAATCAGACAATGCCACTGTGGTGGCACCAGGGTGAGGCAATGAGTCCTGCTGCTCACTAAAAGGTGGACAGATTGTGTCCTGAGCAGAGCTCACTCTGCCGTGGATATCCCAGGCATAGTAAATTGTCAGGCACATTTCCACATGTCAACAGTAGCTGAACTTATGTGAGTGAGCCCTTCAGCCAGTGGTGTTTTGATGCTCTTGTCAGAGCTGAGAGGCTCCAAATGGATTTTCTGGCATGCGGGTTCAATACCAAGCTGGACAGATTTCTCTCTTGGACCAGGGATTTTCAGGTGTTTGCTGTGGATGCCCTTGTGAATTTTTCAGATCAGTTCTCTCTGATCTATTCATTCCCTGTGCTTGAAATGGTTGTAAACCCTCCATATACCCAGCGAAGATGCACAGAAATGAAACAAATCCTCCTGCATACGTTTTTTTACTGATTTACCTGCCGTCTTCTCTTCATCCGTTCAAAAGTGCAGATTTGTGATGAAATCCTTTCTAATCTGTCAGTATCACAGAGGAGGGGGCGGAAAGCCGCAGTTGGAGATCTTGTACATTGTGTGAAAGGTGATTGGAGGAAAGGGACATACACACACACCCACACAGATCACAGAGCTGTGTTTTGAGTAGTCACAAAACTATCTCATGTGTGGGGAAAAGTTCTCAGAAGTGACTCATGCTGATAACCAAGGAATGAAGCATCCATTGGAGATAGACCAGTAAACTTTTACAGATGTGTGCTTTGTTCAGATTTCATGACTGAGGTTTACAACCACTTTAAGTTCATGCCTCTCCTGCTGCACAGGTTGCAGACAGAAGATGTGCAATTGATTTTTATACCTCTTGCTTGGCCTCAAAGAATGTGGTACACAGAAATTGCCAACTTGTTGGCGGATGAGCCATGAGCTCTTCCATATCTGTTGTTGAAAGGACTGGACCGATCCTGAATCCTGCTTAAGCCGCTTACTTGGCTGTTAGGGCCCAAGACCTGAATCTTTTCAGGGGTGTTTCTGAATCTTTTATACCGTGCTCAGGGCAAGGAAGTCCACTTCTAGGAAGGTGTATCATTATACTTGGATGGTTTCTTTTGCCTGGTGAGGCTAACAAGTTTGATCCTTGAATGTAGTATGTTGGGGGTGCATTGTGGCTGTGTGGATATACAGCTTTGTCATATTCCCTGTGTATTCTGCTTGAAAGGCCTCGTAAGGGACAAACTGCTTCCTGATCCACTGTTTCTTGGTGGTTTCAAAATCTCATTCTCAGGCTATGGCATTAAGGATAAGCTTCCTTCTTTTTCAATGTCAGTGCTCTCCAGGAGATTCAGCGTCAAGCTTCAGCTGTTCAAGCTTGTAGGACTTGATACTTTGTTTACATGTTTTTATACACTTTACCAGGTAAATGTTCTTACCACCTGTGGACACCAGTTTTGAGCGGAACATCCTGCAGGCAGCTCTGTAGTAGGGTTACTCTGTTCTGCCTTTGGGTTTAGGGCTTGTTGCTGTTGTGCTGTGTTACCCCACCTGTCAAGTTCAGTGCTTTGGAATATCCCAAGTAGTCATTCTACATTCCAGCACAGGAGCTGATGTGTGGTGCAGATGAGATCAGCACAGTGATGATGCGCTGATCCCATTGAATTGTTTCTTTTTTTATTATTACAGGTACTTGTATAGCGCCGTCAATTTATGCAGCGCTTTACTTACATACATACATACATACATAAACACACACATTTATAAATAACATTCACATCAGTTCCTGCCATCAAGGGGTGTACAATCTAAGGTCCCTAACTCACATTCATACATACACCTACTAGGGCCAATTTAGACAGGAGCCAATTACCCTACCAGCATGTTTTTTGAAGTTTGGGAGGAAACCCACACAGGGAGAACATGCATAATCCAGGCAGGTAGTGCCATGGTAGGGATTCGAGCCTACGACCCTAGTGCTGCCAAGCGGAAGTGCTAACCATTTAGCCTCTGTGCTTTGTGACTTTTCAATGTTTCTTTTTTTAAAACAGACCTCTCATAAAGTTCTGCTGTGGGGTGCAAGCCAGTGGACTATATTTTCAGGGCACAGTGCCTGCACACCACCGCAACACAGTGGTGTGAACTGAGTAGATGGAGACAAAGCAATAGCAATTTTGCCTTGTTATGCGATGGGACTGCACTGGAATAGCTGTACATCACAGGGCACAGGCATCCCTCCTCTCTCGTATTGTTCCTTATTCCTTGCTGAAACGGAGGCTGTTCTGTGCTTAGAGGGGTTATGCCTGAGTGTGGAAGCATGCTTTTTTTTTTTTGTTTTTGTTTGGGCCAGTATCCATTCACCTGTAAGTGGCAGCATAAACCAAGTAGTCATACTAGTAAAGAATACCTGGGTCCTGTCATATACATGCCAACAAAAAAACCCTAATAATTTTGTTTATGACTTCTAATTTGTAGATGTAAATTGACCATCTTGTAATATCTTTTTTAGAGTGGCCTTGCCACAGAGCGATGACGATTTTTTGGGTGATGACCTAGATTATATGATTGCCATGGAAACTACCCTGGCAGGAACTTCCTCCCCTCCACCTAGTCCAACCTTCAACAGCCGGCCTCCTCCAAGTCCCATCCAAGAAGAGCAAGCCATATATTCAGAATGTGAAGATGAGGCAGAAAGGGAGGTTCCTGGCACACCCCCCAACAAGAAGGTAAAATAGCATTTTGTGTTACAGACTGATGTTGTGAACTTTTGTTGTAGGTGATGCACTTCTGTGTGTTGGACACCATTATTTGCAAAACACTTTGTTAATATTAAAGTAGTATAAAACCTTCAGAATTTCTAGCTTAACACATTGAACATAATAAAATGGATATTCCCCGGTAAACTATTTGTTAAAATTCCTACCCAAACACCTTCAGTTTACAGTTTTCAGTGCTCCTGGCTTCTGCTTTTTCAGTGCTGCTTCCCTAAACTTCATAGCTTTGCAGGAAAGATTTAAGTGGGCGTTGCGGTCTTGAGTCAGTCTGTTTGTTTGGAGGAGGGATTAGCAGGGGAGTGCCTTGCTATCCTATGCGATAGGGCTGTGAGACAGCTGTAGTCCCTGCATGCAAAGGTGACTCCATAGGACACTGCAAGAGAACGGGGCCACCAGCAGGAACATGGGCAAGGATTAAAAGATGAAGCAGCATACTCCATAAGTGATTAAGCCCCGAGTTTACACTGAATACGACATTGAAATTCTGTGACTTAAACTCACAAGCTTTTAAAGTTGCATGTCCGTTCGACTTCAGGTGTGACTTGCAAGACATCCGTGCGACTTCATGCACATATGTCTATGCAAGTCGCACCTGAAATCGCCAAAAATAGTGTAGGAACTACTTTCAAAATGAGTGTCTTTCTGATGTCACGGTTTCATTGCGAACAATAGGGTGCTACTTGTCATGCGATGTGACTTGTCATGTGATTTGTCAGTTTCATATCGGTGTGAGCTGGGGCTAAATCGGCTGCTGAAAATGCTTAAAGAACGGAGGATTTAGGATCACCCTAGGCTCGTGTATATTTGTAGACATACTTCTCTTATTCTTCCCCTCCTCCTCAAAAAAAACTCTACTCTATTGGCCTCAGAGACTTCTCCCTCTCCTGGTTCTCATCCTACCTATCACAGTGCTCCTTCAGTGTTACCTATAATGCTGCCACCTCTTCACTCCTCTTTCTATAGAGGTCCCTCAAGGTTCTGTCCTTGGACCCCTTCTCTTCTCCATATACTCCTCCCTTGGTCAATTGATAAACTCCCACGGCTTCAATTACCATCTCTATGCTGATGACACACAAATTTATCTTTCTACCCTTCACCTCACCCCTTCAGTCTCCACTCGCATTACTAGCCTACTAAGTGACATATCGGCATGGATGTCACTCCACTTCCTCAAACGCAATCTTTCCAAAACTGAGCTCTTAGTATTCACCCCAGCCCGTACCCCCTGCACTGACTTCTCAGTCAAGTTCGATAACACAATCATCAGTCCCTCCCTCATGCCAGGGTACTAGGTGTAATCCTAGACTCTCATCTGTCCTTTCAGCCTCAGATCCAATCGCTGTCCAAATCTTGTAGACTTCACCTCCGCAACATCTCCAAGATACGACCATTCCTAACTACGGAAACCACTAAGCAACTTATTCACTGCCTTGTATCTCGCTTTGACTATTGTAACTCCCTCCTCACTAACCTACCTCATCGCAGGCTATCCCCTCTTCAGTCTATCATGAATGCTGCTGCCAGACTCCTCCACCTTACTAACCGTTCTGTATCTGCCACCCCTCTCTGCCAATCCCTCCACTGGCTTCCCGTTGCCCAACGGATAAAATTCAAAACACTAACAATGACTTATAAAGCCATCTATAACACTGCCCCAAATTATATCACCGATCTTGTCTCTATCACCCAAACCATGCTCTCTGCTCCACGCAAGACCTCCTACTCTCTAGCTCCCTTGTCTCCTCCTCCCATGCTCGCCTCCAGGATTTCTCCAGGGCTTCCCCCATCCTCTGGAACTCCCTACTCCAATCTATCAGACTATTGCCTACTCTGCTCACTTTTAGGCGATCTCTGAAAACCTATCTCTTCAGAGAAGCCTATCCTGCTCCTCAGCTAATACTAAAATCTTCTACTCCTTCAACCACTCCATCCCCCACAGTTACTACCTTTCCCGTACCACTAACCCTTCCCTCCTAGGTTGTAAGCTCCAAGGATCAGGGCCCTCAAATCCCTCTTGTATTGAACTGTATTGTCCCCTGCTATAATGTAAAGCGCTGAGCAAACTGTTGGCGCTATATAAATCCTGTATAATAATAAAGGTATAAGCAGTATGCTGTTGTAGTTTATTTAAATCAAAGCAGCAGCCAAACAAACAAATAATTATTCTAGATTTATGTTAATGAATGATTTTACCTGCCAGAAGTATTATTTGTACACACAACCTTTGCTGCGTGGCCAACAGGGTAACATTGTTTGCTGTTACAACTCTGTAGCTTCATGCATCACATGCTTCCTCTTTTGACTATGAACAGCTTACATTACTCTGCTCCTTAAGTAAGCTGCCTAACCCTTTCACCTTCAAATTTCAGTTACAGAAAACCTGTGGAATTGAGAACCTTAAGCAGTGCAATAGAGTTTAACTCACAGTATATAACCCCGCCTTTCACATTCTGATTTGCATAGTACAGAACATTGTGAGAAAATGTAACTATAGGCACTTAGCTAGTCCAGGTGTATCTCAGGTTCATACGTACTCTAAATGTCCTGTGTCAGGGAGTAGCCCCACCGCTGGTCAGCCAGTCAAGGGTTACACATTTTGTCCAGGTTGGAGAACTGTTCATTGACCCCCCCCCCCCCCCCCATCCCAAGCCATCTTGGTTCTTGATGGAAGTTGGCATGGGAATAAGCCAGGGGCTTAAGGTCTATGTATTGTAGTTCCTAAGTCATTACAATATGATTACATTATGACAGTTATAATATATTACATTTAAATAAATCACTAGGAGGTCATATTCTCACACCTGATGTAAAGACAAGGAACGAAGTGGTTGTAAACTGAGGGACACTTTGTTTATCACATGATTAAATTTCATTGCATTCAAAGTGAGATATAGACTATGGTAAGGTATCCTTTACTTTATGTGCTTGCACACATTTTTATAGTTGCCATATTAAAAAAAAAAAGTGACATCTATTCACACACTATGCAAAATATCGAGTAGGGTGATTTGCTTTATCACTTAAATCTGTATGTAATGTGTTTTTTTTTTTTTTTTTTTTTTTTTTATCATCCAGTTCAGGTCTTTGTTTTTCGGGTCTGTTATTCAAAGCTCTGGCCAAGCAGCTCAGGAAGTTCTGGCTGAAGACAGTGATGGATGATGTTGCTGAGGCAATATTTTAGAAATGAACTTTCATTCATGGATTGCATCTGCAGCATAAAGTGTATGCTTTGGTACTAGTCCAGGCTTTTATTTCAAAAAGCTCGCCAAAAGTCATTGAAGTCACTCAGAAATGTCAGGGAAATGTATAAGATTTCTGACCTATGTAAAAACATTTTATTTTGTTACTATAATATATTAATTTATATTTTGCTGTATGGGGGGAAAAAAAATATCAGTGAAAGCTCTTCTTGATATTAAAACATGAGAGCACAGAATGCTCAGGGTTAAAACTCCGGACAGAAGTGTTTCCAGATCAAGACAATGCAGCAGAAGCATAGCTAGAAGTAGAATCTACTGCTATACCTTACAGTCTGTGCAGAATTTGAGGAACAAAAAATAAATGAACCTACCCTTATGTAATAAGATGCATGATCTTTATCTCCGGTTACTCTGGAGTGTATATTGGTAAGTATAAAGACCGTAAAAAAAAAAAAAAAAAAAAAAGTTATACTTTTGGGATGGTCGATGTACTGCTAACAAAATTTTTTTACAATTAAGTTGACCTCCAAAGAGTCTTGGAAATCATTTTAGTGCTTACACAGCCAGTAAATTGCTTTGAGACATAATTACAAACATGCTTTGAGTTGTTCATCCAGAAGTTCTCTGTTATAGTGAACATCTGCTGTGCCCACCTGAAGGGTTCTAGGAGCAGCATCTTGCTCAAAGATTCTGGTTTGGTTCTGGTCCACCTTTGTGTATTCCTCCTCCTGGTGTGTTCTTCAAATGTATGCAAAGTTACAAAAAGACCTCTCCTTACCTTTTGTAATTGCTGTACCAGGTGGAAGGAGCTGGGAGCCTGCACAGTTCCCAATATAGAAACTCTTATTTAAGGGCTAATTTACACCAGATGCTGTCAGGTGTGTTTTTAAACGTGGTATGAAAGCAGTTAGAAATGCATATGCATGAAAAATGTATGTATTTCAGTGAGCCTAGTTTATAGCATTGGAGTTTTTATGTTCTTGTAAAAACGGAATGCACTGCAAATGTACGTGAATGCAGTTTAGTAATTAAAAAAAACAAAACTTTTTTTTTTATGTAATTCTTTATGTAGACATTTGTGCATTTACAAAGCTGTACCGTCACACCAATATACAATAAGTGTGAGCAAAAGCTCTGCAAGAAGCTAGCACGTAAGGGCACAACATGTCAATGGTCCATTATCCAATATCATTAGACTTGGTACAAGTTGTCTACATCAGTGGCTGGCATAATGCCAAATATACTGGAAATATAGGGTAAAAAACTTAAAATACACACTGTCTGAATCAAAACCTTTTATTATACAAGACAACCTTGATCCCATAAACCATGGGAATAGGAAAATGTGGAAAATAATGCACAGAGGCGAAATTTAAAAAAAAAAAAAAAAAAGGGGGGGGGGGGGGGACCTTGAGCAGTTCCTGGATGGGGATTTGAAAGAAAAAAAAAAAGGCAGGGGTGTACGGAGGAGGAAATGCAAAAAGGGCGGGGGGGAGGTTTTATGGGACAGAGTGGGAATGTGAAAATGGGGCTGGAAGCAAACTCAGGGGGTGAAGGGGCAGGGAAGCAGTTGGCAATCAAAGATTTGTGCGTTAATTGAATTATACGGGTCACCTGTTCCCTGGAGAAGGATACCTGCAAGTCAGCTTCCCATTTGCGCACGTAAGGGAGAAAAGCCTCCTCTGGTGTATTCAGCATCTTATACAAGATCAATATAAGGTGAGGTGTATATTCCTTTGTGGCACATAAGTGTTCAAAAGGGGTGAGTGATCTGGCGTACAGGCCCGGATTTGGAATAGATTGCAAAAAGTGATGTAATTGGTAAGCTGACCAGGATCTCAAAGGAGGGTTATAGTAGTGTTAATCGTCTGAAGGGTTGTAAAATGCCTGCACTGTGTATCCAGCCTCCTCCAGACGACGCAGCTGCCTACTGTCAGTTCCCGAAGGAAAGGCAGGGTTGGAGAGCACTGGAGTAAGGGGAGGGATATGGGGACAATCCCTTTTTGTTGAAGAATCTGGTGGATAACCTTTAATAGTGGCTCCCATGATTGGGTGACTTTAAGAGAACGGTAGTGTTTCACCTGTAACCAGGGCAAAGCCGAAAGTGCAACCTGCTTTGAAAGTTCAATTTGGGTCCACAGCTTAGATCTTGGTAACGCGCACCATGTCATCACCCTGGAAAGGTGCAATGCTTTATAATATGACAACAGGTCCGGCAGGCCAAATCTGCTACTCTTCTTGGGGAGGGCAGTCAACGTGAATCTTGTCCAAGCCACTTTTCCACCCCAAATTAAATTAAGTTGCATAGCCCCCAGGGAGGCAACGTCGTCATTTTATAAGTATTACAGCATCCAAACAAATTGAGAGTTAGGCCTTACAATCTACAAAGGTCCAACCTAATTTTGGATAACAGGGCCAAAACTTGCCTCCTACAATGCAGAGGTGGCATAAGTGATGTTGATGCCAAGATACCACATAGAAGACCAGGCCCATTGAAATAAGTATGAACGCTGTAAATGCACCATGTGGTCCTTCACCAAATTTGATATTTAGAGCCACCAATTTAGGAAAATAGAGAAATTGAAAAGCTGACTCTTCTGTACAAACAGGGAAAGAAATTCCAGTATAGAGGTCTCTGGATGGGTGAGGCTGAACAAGAGATTGTCAGTGTATGCCGCGATCTTGTATTCATTAGGGGGAAGCTGTAGTCCTATGATGGCTGGGTTGGATCTCACCTTGCACAAGAGAGGTTCAAGAGTTAGTATGCAATTTAATGGAAAGAGAGTGCAACCTGTTGGTGTATATATAAATAATTAACAAGCTCACCATAAAGGCACTAAAATAACATTGCAAATGCACATGTAGAAATGCACAGTAAGCACATGGATTGTGGTATAAAAACAAGCCCATAAAGTGGAACTAAAGTCTCCAATTAGAAAACTGAGAGCAGAAGGCTCTTTAGTGCAGAGAGACATGCATGGTCTTCAGCAATAAAATAAACCTACCTGCTTGCTTGCAGTCTTCTTTAGATCATACACTGAGCTGCAGTTCAGTTTACATTTCAGCACATATCCTGTATGCTGAATGACTGAACCCTTTCGCATTGGGCAAAGTGTGATGTCGTGTCACATTAGCTAATCAAGAAGAAGATGGGTAGAAGATGCCAACTAGGGACCTTGTTAAAAAGAAGAGCTTTGTATTGAGGACTTTATTGCTCTTTACGTCTGACATCCAAAAGACAGGCAATATCACTTTGGATCTATTGCACTGCTTTGCAATTAAAACCTATAGACTTCATTTGGGTTTAGACAGTCGAGTGTTTAAACACTCCAGACTTTGCCTTTGTGAAGTTAGAAGGGCTGTTAATATGCAAGTTAGCTGACTGACTTAACTGGAGATCATGAACAATGTTTTACCTGTGCCCACCTTTTAGTGGACCTTGGTAGTGAGCTGAAGATGTCCTGACTGTGCCTTCCCACACCTCTGATAGTAGTGATATGCTGAGCAGAAGATTTGTATACAGGGTTGAGTCCAAACATGCTTCTTTCTCATTTATTGAGGGACGAAGGAAGTCTTTAATTTTTGTGTTCTATTGGAAGATTGTACACTGGCAAACAAAACCAGCCCAGAATAACCCTAGGACACCAGTTAAAAAAAAAAAAAAAGCATGCTGGTAGAAGGACAGATAACTTTTTGTACAGCTCTAATGTAAACAGGAGCTAACTGTTTTTGATCTTTTTTTTTTTTTCCTTCAATCAAGACTTATCTTTTGCTGCTGAAGTTTCATCTTGGTTTTTTTTTTTTTTTATAAATATTTATTAAATTTTTCCAATTCATATACAAAACATTTCAACATTTCTATTAAAATAATTATCCCAAATGTTTTCTCTTCTTACATAAATTATCCCTGTATATGACTTTCTTTCCTTGCCCTCCCCCCCCCTTCCACCCCCACATCTCCTCCAACCCCTCCCACGCTCAACATTCTTTTTACTCTCGTTAACTCCATATTATTCTGTTGTTTCTAAATCTCAGTTCTAAGCCAGCTTCCAGGAATATTATCTCTTCATATATTTCACCTTTTCTCTGTATTCTTCCCAGCCTTTCCATTTTTTATTATATAACTCCAGCTTGTCCTCGTGCGTGTAATACAATCTTTCTGTCCCAGAGATCTGATTTACTCTAACCATCCAATCCTCCTCAGTTGGCACCTCTCTTTTCTTCCAGAACCTGGGTATCAGACTCTTCGCTGCGGTCAAGTACTGCCATATCCCAGAACTCTTATATGTTTTCACTGAGAGTTCTGAGATATGGAGGAGACATACTTCTGGATCTAATCCTATATTGATTTTGTGATTTTCCCTATCAAATAAACTATCCTCCGCCAAAACACCTGTATTTCTGAACACTCCCACCACACATGATACCACGTGCCCACCTCTCCACAACCTCCCCAACACATCTGTGAGATTTCTGTATTCATCTTGTGCTCCAGATAGGGGGTAATGTGCCATCTATTCAAACACTTATAGTTTATTTCCACTTCTCTCATACTAATATTTTCGTGAATTAATGTGAACATCATCTTCTCCTCTCTCTATTTTTCTTCCCATATCTCTTTCCCATTTCTCTATGTGCATTAATTTTGTGTCTATATCAAGTTCCATTAATAGCTTGTGTATTTTTGCCGTACCGTGTCTACCATTTCCCCGTGACTCAAAGATTCTCTCAAATGGATTCCAGTCTTTTCTAGTTCTTATTGGTTTTGGAAGGCTTTCAAGAAATTCTTCAGTTGGTAATATCTTAGTCTATCCATCTTATTAAAGACTTCACCCTTTCTTTCCTCCATATCCTTATATGACCCCATTTCCTCTCCTACCATTATATCTCTCAATTGCGCCTCCTGTTTTATTATCCATTTCCCTGCTATACTATCTTTTCCCGGGATGAAATATTTTG